TTATCCCATAAATTAAAAATAAAATAAATTTAAAAATAATGTTTTTAAATGCATAAAAGAAATATAAGAGACAGGTACAGGACAGAAAAGGGACTATTACAAGACCTGTTTAGGAAGGGAATAGTTATAATCCTACAAGGCTCACAGTACCCACTTGTCAAGTCCCTGCATTGCTTTGGGGGTCCTGGAGTCCCTAAAATCTTAGCTCTCTTCCTTTTTCCCCCCGGGGCTCTGCTCTCATCATTTGCTTCTGGGAGCGGCCCCTTCTCTTACTCCAGTGCACTCTAGTACTTTCAGACAAGTTCTTGACTACTGCCAACATCTCTCAATATGGTGCCCCCTAATTATCCTGACTTCTGAAGTTCCTGGTTTGGTCTAAGGACTCCTAGGGGCTCCCCTTGGCAGCTCCTATGCATGCAGGCCACCTGGAAGCCCCTTCTTCCTCCTTTCATAGCTTATTTGCCCCAGCTTTGTGGCACAGGGCACTCGGTTACCCTTAGAGCTGCTTGGTCCCTTTGGCCCAGCAACTACAACATTATGAGAAAGGGCTATTTAGCTTATTTCTGGGCTGTGCACTGAGTAAATATAGATGAGGAAACTGAAGCTCAGAGAGGTTAGATCACTTATCCAAGATCACATAGCAAGAAAATGGCAGCACTTTCTTGTCTTGGCAACAAAGTGTTTCACTGATCCTCATTTCATTTGACCATATGCACAAGGGCCTGCTGTCCTGACCAGAGAGGAAAGAACCATAGAATCTTAAGAGTTGGAAAGGCCTTTGAGAGGTCATCTGGTTTAACCTGCACCCAGTGCAGTGATATCTGTAAAGTCCATGAGAGTAAGGATGTGTCTTAACTAACTTTGTATTTCTCCCAGGTGTTTAATAAATGTTGATGGTATTGTGTTGTCATTATAATGTTATGCAACATTACCATATTGTATCCCTCTAAAGCATTCCCGGTGTGCACAGTAGGCACTTATTAAATATTTATTGACCGATCCTGACCAAAGAAGGCTGTTTTGCTGACAGCTAACGACTGTTAAATTCTTTCTGGTGTTCAGAGCCATAACTAGGGTGGGAGAGTATAGGGTTTTGCTCTAGGGCACTGCCATTTAAAGGGGCACTGACAACACTCTGACTCCATCTTTAGCACAGAAACAATTGAATTAATTAGTTAGAGGCAATAATTAGTTCAAGCAGCCTACTACCCAGATGGGTGCTTCCTTTCCCCTCCCTGCAAGGCTGCACACCAGCTAAGTTTCTCCTTGGCCTGGGTCCACCTCATTCTTCCCTCAGGTGGTATTCTCCCCAACATCAGCCTCCCAGTGTCCCGAGTGGACATGTGAGCTGGGTTTTAGTTTCTTCTTTTCCTCTCTACTGAATTTGTTTTCACAAAATGTTCTGGGGGCAGCTAGGTGGTGCAGTGGGTGGGTAGAGCACGAGTCCTAGAGTCAGGAGGACCTGAGTTCAAATCTGGCCTTAGACACTTACTAGCTGTGTGACCCTGGGTAAGTCACCAAACCTCAATTGTCTCCCCTCAAAACATGATCTGAGGGTATGTTTCATACTAACAATCTTGGGTATGTTTTGTGACTCGGTTGCCAAAAATTGCTTGTTACATCTTTGGTGATGTTAAGCCAAAATCTGGCTTTTAAACTTTCTTTCCAGGATCTCACCCTTCAATTCACCAGCAGTTTGGAGTAAAAGAATATGGTGGTTCAGATTTAAAGTGGTGTAATCCAATGCTGGGTGGGAGTGGTGGTAACAGGTAATGGTGGCTACTGGGCTCCAGGATTGGTGTAGCTTGGCCACAATGGCTAATGGGTGCTTAGGTGTCCATGGGTAGGCATTCCGTGGACAACATTCATGTGTGTGGGAGGGACACGTCACTGATCTCATCCACTTTATGTGCTCCTTGTTTCTAGTATACAAATATCCTACTCTCAGGTGGTTGGTACCGGGGGAAAAATCAAATCAATATCATATTTACATAGCTATGTTGTCTTTTGTACTGGAGGCTAATACAATGAACCTCTGCAGGGAAGAGAACTGTATTTTGTGTGTGGTTTTATATGATCATTCAATTCAATAAGCATGTATTAAGCACCTACTATATGCAAAGTACTGTGGTTAGGTTCTGATGATACAAAGATTGAAAATGAAGGTCCCTCCCCTCAGAGTTAAATTCTGCTGGGGGACTGGATGGAATACAACACGAACACAAATTCCAAATAAATACAAAGTGATTGAGCAGGGGAATCACTGATAACTGGGAGCCTCCCGGAAGACCTTGTATAGGAGGTGGTGTGGGGGTGGATCCCCAAACTTACTATGTGATTCTACAAGGTTAAGATCAGGAAGGAGAATATTCCAAGGACGGAGGAACATTCTCTTTAAAGGCACAGAGGTAGAGATGCCAATTTAACTGCAACTTGGCAGGCCAGAGGCTGGGGGATTTTTTTGGCTACAGCAACTTTGACAATCATTCACCAAATAAGAGAAGGGTTATGAGCTGAAGTTCTGCAAGAGTTCTGGGTTTGAACTGAGAAGGCCTGAGTTCAAAACCTGCCTCAGATATTTTCTAGCTGTGTGGTCCTGGGCAAATCACTTAACCACCCCCAGCCTCAGTCTCCTCATGTGTAAAACGGAGATAATAACACCTCCTTCCCAGAGTTATTGTGAAAATCCAGTGAGGTGATATTTACAAAGCACTTTGCAAACCTTGAAGCTCTATGTAAATGCTAGCTATAAAAGGACAATTCCCTAGGAATGAAGAATTCTCCAAATCCATTCCCCCTCAGGTGGCATCATACTCTCACAGAACCACAGAATTTTAGAGTTCAAAAGGACCGCAGCCACCACTAATCCAATCCAGATCTGAAAAAGAATCCTCCCTGTGACACAGTCAACAAGTAACCGCCCGGCCTTTGCTGGAGCTCTCCAATGCAGGGAAACTTACCACTCCGCCAAGCAGCTCCTGTCACTTCCAGACTGTCCTGTCCAACTTGTCTGCCAGCACTTGGAAGCTGGCCTGCCTGCAGCCTTCCCCCACGGCCGCTGGTTCATCTCTGGGGGACCAGGGAGAGCAGACTCAAGCCCTTTTGCACACGATGGCTCTTCAGATATCTGGACGAGCCGGTATAGCGCGTTCCCCAGAGTCTTCTGTTCGCCGGGCTAGCCAGCTCTTGGTTCCTTTGAACCAAGTGGCACAGCTCCAGACTCTCTTCATCGTCTTGAATTGCCCTCTCTGAACTTTTGACTTCTCCTCAGTGACTTTCCTAATGGATAGTTCCCAGAACTAAGTTGTTGTTCAATCGTTTTTCAGTCGTGTCTTCGTGTCCAACTCTTTGGGGTTCTCTTGGCAATGATACTGGAGTGGTTTGCCATTTCCTTCTCCAGCTCATTTTACAGATGAGGAAACTGAGTCAGACAGAGTTAAGTAACTTGCCGGGGATCACCCAGCTAGTGTCTGAGGCTGGATTTGAACTCAGGTCTTCCTGACTCTAGGCCTGGCTCTCTATCCACTGTTCCACCTAGCTGCTAAGCAGTGCTCCAAATGTGGTCTGATCAAATCTTAGTCCAGTGAGACTATCACCTCTTTATTCTGGAAGATAAGCCTCTCTTAATGTAGTCTTGCTTAGTGCTAATTATTCTCCACCCTAAAATATGGCAAAAGCTCCTCAGCGAAATCCAAAATAGTGCAAAATTCAGATCAATTCAGTTCAACATTTGTTTAACACCTGCTATGGGCAAAGTCACTTAACCTCTATCTCAGTTTCCCCAACTATAAAATGGGGATAATAACACCACCTACCTCAAGGCGTTTTTGTGAGGATCAAATAAGATAATATTTGTGTTTAACACAGTGCCTGGTACATAGTAGGTGCTTAATAAATGCCTATTTGTTATTGACTATTATTATATTTCCTTCCCCTTCTCTGAAAGGCACTGTGCTAAGAGCTAAAGAAAAGGAGAAAGACAATAGCATAGATGCTTCCTTCAGAGAGTTTGCAATATAGGATAGAGACTACCATACATAAACAAATAAAGTGATATAGTAGTCTAACAATCCACATTCAAAATCAAAGTGGATGAAAAATGTATATTAATCAGATTATGATATGCAGCATTATATTTGGTCCATACGTGTGTGTGTACGTACGCTCAAAATTCACATATGAGATGCAGAATTTCTCTTCTCCATAGAACGCTCTGCTTTTACGTAGGCACTAAATGTGGAAAAGTATTTGAGTCGGCAGAAGTAGCTCCTCAGAATGAAATCTGAATCTGCCACCACTGAGTGGTGCTCTCAGCTGGGGCTCTTTGGGCCCCTTCAGTCTTTGTCACATATTCAAAGAGGAGGACCGTCTTTCTGGACCTGTACGTAAGTGGGAATAGGGCAGCCTCAGGCTACCCTCAGTTCCTAGCCTAGTGCTCTTTTCTGGGGTAAAAAGTTTAAAAATTAACAACAATTCACGGGTTTATCACAATAGCAAAACCTCCATCTCAACAAGATGCTTATCTCCTTCCCAACTACCAGTGACCCTTCAGACTTTACACTCATGTTGTAGATCAGACTTCATTTTTTGAATGAATTTGAAAATAAAAATGAAAACTCCCAAGTGGCTGATAACTCAGTTCTTCTAGTTGGGTCTGAAATTCCAATTCCCCACTCATTGGAAACCCATTTGAAGAGTGACACGCTGGTGTTCTCTCTCCAAAGCTAATCAAACTGTACCAAGTGATTGCAGCTACAATCTTGGCTGTCTGAGCACCTGTGTTCCAACTAAGTAACCTGTAAGTCCAACACTAACACACGTATTCTCTGAAAACTGGTAAAACTGGTGAGAACACATAGAGTAAACATCACACCCAAGGGGCCTCAGTGGGCACTCAGTATCTGGTTTTCATGCTTTTTCATTGTTCTTCTTTATGTTTGCTGTCCTCAAAGGCAACCTATGTAGGAAACATGTGCAAAGAAGAAGAAGAAGAAGAAGAAGAAGAAGAAGAAGAAGAAGAAGAAGAAGAGAAGAAGAAGAAGAAGAAGAAGAAGAGAAGAAGAAGAAGAAGTAATTCTTTGCCAGATTCTCAGAAGACATGGCCTGGGGCTGCCCCCCAGTTGAGGCAGCTTGGGTATATATATGTTTTTAGCTCAAGGTATTTGTCAATGCATCCACAGGACTGACCTAGCCGATTGTCATATTGAATTGAAGTGGAGCTTGAGAAGTTCAGTTATCCTACTTCCGTTCAAATACCAGGCTAAGTTATTTTATATCTGCTCGTTTCTCAGGCTTGAATTATCAGGTTGGAATATGTAGAGAGCCCTAAGATGGTTATCAGTCTGGAGGAAACACACTTCACAGGAGTAATTTGACCTTATTGATAAATGCATGATACAAACTATTCAAATAGCTGTAGAGGCTTCCTTTCCCCAGTAATCAAAAGGTCAAATCAGTGAGCACCCTACTATGTACCAGGCAGTGTGCTAAGGGCTTGCAGTACAAGTAAAGGCATAAGATAGTCCCTGCCCTCAAGGAGTTCACATTCTAATCTGAAACATGCAAGTAATTATGTCAATTCCAAGAGATGAAAGTGAAGAAGGAATGCTTTTCAGGTATAAAAGCATACCTGTCCAAAGACAGGGAGAGGAAGATGAGACTTTTTTTTCTTTTTTAGGCAATAGGGGTTAAGTGACTTGCCCAGGGTCACACAGCTAGTAAGTGTAAGGTGTTTGGTCTGAAGCCAGATTTGAACTGAGGTCCTCCTGATTTCAGGGCCAGTGCTCTATCCACTGCACCACCTAGCTGCCCCTGGAAGATGAGATTGTAACCTTGATCTCACTCATTATTGGCTGAACAGTTATTCTACTGCCTCTGGAGTTGTTTCTTTTGTGTAAGATATAACACTGGATCGGCCTAGTCATAGAAGTATTGTGAGGGTATCCTTTTCCTCCCCCTTAAATGTAGTTCCTCCCCATGTACTAAAATTTTTTTAATAGTATTTTTCCCAATTACAAGTCAAGATAATTTTCAGTATTCATTTTTACAAGATTTTGAGTCCAAATTTTTCTCCCTCCCCTCTTCCGGAAATGGAAGGCAATTTGATATAGATTGTACATGTACTATCATGTAAAACATATTTCCGTATTAGCCACAGTTGTGAAAGAAGGAACAGATCAAAAGAAAAAAAACACAAAAAAGGATAAGCTAAGTAAAAATAATACACCTCGGTCTGCATTCAGAGTCTGTCAGTTCTTTATCTGGATGTGGATAGCATTTTCCTTTATGGGTCCTTTGTACTTGTCTTAGATCATTGTGTTGCTGAGATGAGTCAAGTCATTCATAGTTCATCAACATACTGTATACAATGTTTTCTTGGTTCTGCTCATTTCAGTTTGCATCAGTTCGTACAAATCTTTCCAAGTTTTTCTGACATCTGCCTGTTCATCATTTCTTATTGTACAATAGTATTCCATTATATTCATACACCACAGCTTGTTCAGCCACCCTCCTCGATGTGCTTTTGACACTATTCCCTCCTGCCTCCTCCCTAATATTGTTTCAGGAATTATCCACCTTCTCTATTATATTTTTAATCTTTCCCTTGCTTATTTGTCTTATAAATATGTTCAGATCTCATCACTCCTAAAAAAGGGTTCTTTCGATTCAAAATTTTGGCTCTTGCCAGTACTGTTCTAGCTCTTCCTCCCCTTCACTGATAAATTTCTTGAGAAAGCTGTTTGCACCTGATTCCTGCCCTTCCTTACCACCCATTCCTACCACACTAATAATAATAGCTAACTTTTATATAGTGCTTTATACATACTATCTAATTAGACCCTCACAATAACCCTAGGATATATGTATTATGGGGCAGCTATGTGGTGCAGTGGATAGAGCACTGGGTTTGGAATCAGGAAGACATCTTCCTAAATTCAAATCTGGCCTCAGACACTTACTAGCTGTGTGACCCTGGGCTAGTCACTTAACCCTCTTTGCCTCAGTTCCTTATCTGTAAAATGAGCAGAAGAAGGAAATGGCATACCACTGCAACATCTCTGCTGAGAAAATCTCAAATGGGGTCACAGAGTCAGACACAACCAAAAAATGACCTAATTGTGTATTATAGGTATATGGAATGGAGATAACCATTTTACATATGGAGATAAACATTTTACATACTAAGAGAAAGGGTAAATGACTTATGGTTGCTCATAGCAAAGAACAAATGAGATGATATTTGTAAAATGCTTAGCATAGTGCCTGGCATATAGTACGTGCTTAATAAATGCTTGTATTCTTCCATGGTCACACAGCTGATTGGCATCAAAGTCAGAATTTGGACTTAGGTCTTTCTGACTCTAGTTCCAGTGTACTACACATGTCACTAGTTACTTAATCTCCAAATCTGCAGTTTTTGAAAATATTGAACCATCCACATTCACTAGGTAATGGTGCCACAGAACACTGGTGAGCTAGTGAGCAGGCAGTCTCTCCCACTCTACTCCTTCCCCCAACAATTACACCTTTATGTAGGTTGACCTACTTCTCCAGTTTTTGGTGTGACTTTCTCTCAAGCCACTGCTTGGCCCTCAGGAGAAATGGTTTTCCTTTCAAATCACGTGGTAGGGATGCCTACCCAATGCCAGCCTAGCTGGTTAGTTAGCCTATTTGACTGCTGATTCATTTGACTTGAGAAATCCTGGTAAAAAGTATTCTTGTTGCCCCGGAAAGTTGTAAAATGACTCCAAGACCCTAGTCAGAGATCATGGTTTGGCAAAATACTGCAGCTTTAAATCTCTCTATCTTCCTACTCCATGGTATTCCTAATTTCTCTTCTCAGTGTTTTATTCCAATAATAAATACACACAGTATAGCAATGTAGGTAGTTCACAGCTGTGTCACATTTAGCATAAGAGAAGGAATAAATGTTTTTTTAATGGGTAAAGGAACTTTAAAAAAATTATTTTTTATTATGAACTCAATAAACATCTATACACATGAACATTTCCATAAACAAAGAACAGAAAAGGAGGATTGCATGTGAATATTTATGATGGATGGCTAATTTCTTTTTCAAAAAGTATTATGTCTCCCTCTGAACTTCCTTCTATTATCTTCTATGCATTAAAAAAAGTTTAATGGATATTGTTTTCTTTCTTTTCATATTTCTTGTTTTTTTGGCATGACTATCACTAGCTACTCCCAACTGCCTCCCCCCAAGCCCTTTCTTCTTAAATAAGCATAGTCAAGCAAACTCAATCCACATATTGGTCTGAAAAGTATATCTCATCCTGTATCTCTAGTCTATTATTTCTCTGTCAAGAAGTGACAAGCATCCCTTATCATCAGCCTTTGGGAGTTATGGTCAAGCATCGTGTTGATTAGAGTTCTTAAATCTTTCAAAGCTGTTTTTCTTTACAGTACTGTAATCATTGTATGAATTATTATGGTTTTGTTCACTTAGCTCTGCATCTATTCATATACCTTCCTAGGTGTTTTTTCCCTGAATCTGTCCCTTTTGACATTTCTTTTGGAGCAATGATATTCCATTATATTCAAATGCTGTAATTTGTCCAGCCCTTCCTCAATTGTTGAGAGCCTACTCTGTTTCTAGTTTTTGGTTACAACACAAAGCATTGCTATGAATGTTTTTGTATATACAAGTCCTTTCCCTCTTTCTTTGATCTCTCTAGGGTATATACTTCGTAGTGGCATAAAAGAGTAGGCACATAAATCCAAGCATGGTGCCCAACATGATACTTGAGCCCCATTTCTGTCTCTCTGGGCTGTTTCACTTACCTGCTCTCACAATTGCATGTTTGGGAGATTTCCATGGAAGGGGGTTGCTACCATAGCCACCACCACCCGAATACTACTTAAATTATCTCTCACGGGATTAGGGATAACCTAGGATGGGAGGATGTACTCTTACTATTCACCAATGACCCTGGGATTCCTTATATACTTCCAATTTATATAAAATCACGTGTGATGACATCATTAGCATTTAAAAATGAAACGTTTATAAAATGATAAAGCAGAAACAGGACTAGTCATAATATTTACTCCATAGAGCTAAAATAATGGGAATAATTAAAATATCACAGTCCACTCTGTCTCACTCTCTCGTAATTAATGCACATGGTGTCCATGGGGGACAATGGACATATATTTATAGAAACCCAGCACATTTCCACAACCTATATGCCTGGAATACTGCTAAGTGAGAGGGGTACAAAAACCAGATATACTTTCTAGGCACTTACATTCTGTTGGGGGAAGACAATACATAAAGGTGAGGTGGAAAGTGTGGTGGGTGGGAACCCACGTGATAGGAAGGCTGGTGTGAAAGTGGAACATACTAGAGAGTACTTGAGAGGAGGGAAGTGAACAGGGTGGCTGAGACTTCTAAAGATATGGTGGGGAAAATTTATAGGGATATAAAAGATATAGGGAAACTTGTGTGCCCATGGCAACTCATAACCTCAGAGAACAGAACTTGGCATCCTCGGTCTCTTTAGACAATAGTCAGCACCACATCATCTGCTGGGCAAAATCACTTCTCCAGTCCCCTTCTAGTCCTAGTTCTCCTGAGTAAAGTCACTTTTCTTCTACTCTCAGGCTACTGAAGATTTGATAGTCTCTTTTTAGCATACTCTTAGGGTTTTTGGCAGGGTACCAAGAAAGTGCTGAGCTCTTTCAGTGACAGTTCACTTCCACCAAGAAAATGTCAAACTTCTCTGATCTTCATTGAAGCTCTGAGTTCTTCCCTCCCAAGATTTTGAAAGTGATATGGTTATGCAGCCTTTTTCATCCAGCTCTTCAAATAAGAGGGCATTCTGTTTCTCCAACCATCTTTCAGCAAAGTCACACCTCTTCTCACAGCAAAGCAGATGCAAAACTTATCTCTTCTCCCTCTGAAACCAGGGAGAGAAGTAAAAGGAAACACAGGAAAACCCTTGAGGTGTTTCCTGTCTCTTAGGCTTTAGGTGATGCTAGAGGGCAATCCTGCCTTTCTCCAGCCAATTAGCTCTCAACAAAGCCATGCATCTCTTCCATTCAGCACAGTTCGAAGTCAAACAGAGGCCAAGCCTGCCTGTCAGCTTTGATTAGCTCCTATGACTTCTGTCCCTGGATCTTTCTGTTTTTAGCTTCTTCTCCTGTTTCTGTCTTTATCCAGTCATTTCCTTCCTTCCTATCTTCCTGGCTTCTAATGCCTCAAATAAGGACTTCCCTGTAATTAGTTCCCATTGCTAATTTATGATATAAACCCAAAAGGTCTGCTTTTCTGTCAGACATGACTTTGGCAGTCCTTATTCAATTATTTAACCTTCCTATAGTTCCAAAATGCTTATTTGATTAATAGTTTATCAGTTATATTCTTCAAAGATCTGAAAACAGAAATGTAAATAAGCTGACGAACTACAACATAATGCAGTAATCTATAAATCAGTCAGTGCTCTATCTTCAAAAAGGTCCTCAAGACAATTTGTGTTTTTCTTCAATATTTTATCTGAGAGGTTGTTTCTCCTTAAGCTTCTTTATCAGAGTTCTTTGCTCAACTGTTCTTTTCTTACCCCTTTCAGCAACCAAAATGTCCACGAGTGAAGGGGGGAAATGTTTAAACAGAGCTTGGTGACTTTATGGGCATAATGCTTTCCAGAGCATGTCCCCAGATATTTTGCCATACCACCTTAGACCTAGCATTATACACTGGCGACCTTGTGGCTATGGTCCTCCTCCTCCTCCTTCCATGGTGGCTATCTTCTCAATGCTTTTGCCTTTCTCAGCCCTCATAACTTGGCTTTTCTTTTTTGAAGGTTCAAAGGAGGAGTAGATGGGCCTATGAGTAACAGTTATTTTCCCTCTACATAGCTTTCATGTTCCCCCAAACCATCCATTCTTGAGGCTGAACACCCACAATTCTTTGAATTAATCTTCATTTAGTGAGTTCTTTCTTAGAATTGCAACGTCATCAGAAGTCCTAGCCATGACATGCTGCTTATTTTCCTACCTCCTCACTGTTCCAGGTTGCTCTACCTTCATAGTGACAGCCTTGCTTCCCCTGAGGATGGCTATACCAGGAAGCTGATTGGATGATTGGTGAGTCCTTATCTTTAGAAGTTCCAGCCACCCTGTTTACCTCCTTCCTCTCAAGCACGCTCCAGTATGCTCCACCTCCACACCAGCCTACCTACCATGATAGTTCTCCTCACCCGCTTTCTACCACATTTATACATTGTCTTCCCCCAACAGAATATAAGTACCTAGAGAGTAGATCTGGTTTTTAGCACTCACAGTGTTTCTGGCATGTAATGTCATTAATAAATACTTTATCTACCCATCTGTCTATCGTTTAGTATGATCTCAAGGCTCCTCACCATCTTGGTTGCCCTCTGTTGGACACTCTCCAGTTTATCAATGTCTTACCTATAAGGAATTGCCCAGAATGGAACACATTACTCAAGATGTGGAGCTGTCAAAGCAGATTATAGTGGGACTTTGACATCTCTAGTCCTACTCACTATGCTTCTCTTTGTTGTTGTTTTAGCTATTTATTGTTAAAGTTTTATTTGTATCTTTTGTTTTTATATCACATTCATTCCCAAATATTTCCCCTCTCTCTTACACAGAGACGCTTCCTTTGTAACAAAAATTAAAAAAAAGATCAGCAAAACCAACCAACACATCAACTATGGTGACTCACAGCGTATTCAACATTCCACACTCATTGTCCCCCACCTCTTCAACAAAGGGAGGAAGGTCCACTTTTTCATCTCTTTTTCCAGGCTTGAGCTTGCTCATTATAATTACACAAAATTCAGTTTCGTTTTATTGTTCTTTTGTCTACATTGTTGTAGTCAATACATCTATTATTTTTCCTGGTAAGGTGTAGGGTAAGTCAGGGAAGATTAGTACCACTGGTGTGAAGGCTGCTGAGCCCTTTTCAGAACCGCTTTCCATTTGTGGTGTCCACATGTTTCACCTAACTCTCACCTGTAGCTGCAAGAAGCTGTAACATGCACGGTAGCCACACTCTAGTAAACTGTTTTGGCAGGCCAGTTAAACCAGGTTGAGGGTAACCAGTGGGTCTCGAACCCATTGGTGAGTTAAGGGGTGTCTGCCCCAAGTATTTGAAGACTTCCCCTTGTGGAATGGGTGAATGAGAATAATTTGTTCCAATGGCCATGAAGGCAGCTGAAACAGGCATTGTGGAGTGCTTAGAGCTAGGTTAGACCTTGAAGATGCCAAGGTCATCCACTGCATCTTCAGCCATCACCAGTCAACTTGATTCTGGCCTGCCACTGGACTGTGATGACTCTGAAGGAGAGAGTGAGGCTGACAACTTCATGCAACTCTGCCTCATTTAAATCCAATTTACACATGAATCAAAGGATATCACCCGTACCATTATTTTCCTGGTTCTGCTAATTTCACTCTCCACCAATTCATACGTCTTTTGTGTTTTTCTGAATTCCTAATATTCTTTATTTTTC